TGGCCTTTGCTGTCTCTGCTGCTCCTGCCTGGTTTCCATGTCCACCTGGTTCCTGCATCCCTCATCTACCATGTCCTGGTGCTCATTTCTGGCCTCAGCCAGGACTGGAAGCTTCGTCTGCCTCAGGACAACTTTTCTGAGTGAGCTCTGTCTCCCTGCATATTTTCAGTCACTAGACATGAACTTAGGGGAGGAGACATCTGAGAGACCCTTGACTGTCTCCACATAACCTGTGGGTCTGTCTTTGCATCTGTCCTGCGCTCGCTACATGAGGATAAAGAGAAGGAAGGAACAGATGTCTCAGAGTGTGCTTCCTTTCACTGCACCTTGGCTGCCTTATGCTGCTATGGCTCCATGATAGGCCAAAGCCAAGTGGTTCACACTGGGTGAACTCTGCATCCACCAGCGAGGCCCTGCTGGTGGGGAGCCTGCTTTCCCCACCCTGGGTAAACTGAGTCCCCTGGCTTGACCAAGATAATGTATGACACAGCAACCCCCGCACGTACCTGGTTGTGTTCACTCACCACCTGTGTGTACTAAACAGAACTAGCACTTTCACATTAAACCCATCGAGAACAGACAGTGGCCCCCAAAGACCCCATGCTGTCAAAGGCTGGAGAGAATAATAGGTAGTCTCAGGATATGGCAAAGGGTGGAGAGTGGGCTCGAGGCCAGCCAGGCCTGACCTGTAACCTGGCACTGCCCCCTTATGAACACTGGTGACCTTGCGCAACTTCCTTCTTCTCTGCCCCTCTAAGATGGTCACAACCGTGCCTTCCGAACAGTACTGCGAGAATTGAGTAAAAGAGTGTGCACAGAAACTTTACTCCTCGTAATACCACTGTACGTTTGTTAATAGTAGTATTTAGTGGTTCATTTTTCTTAGAAGTGTGGTTTACTTTTATTTTATTTTATTTATTTTTTGTGGTTTACTTTTAGATCGTGCTGTTGCTGGGGTATTAAAGTTGTATAAGGAATTACAGATATATACACAGTTAGGTTAGTAAAGAAATATATTTGCATATAAAAGGTCCAGTAGCTCTGTCTCTTCCTGCCTGCGAGAATGCTAACTTCTGGTGCCAAACAGATTCCCTGGGGCACCTGGTGCAGCTAAGGGCAAGTGCAGGGATGGGAAGAAGGGAATCCATGCATTCTGAAAGACTCTTTGCAATCATTCCTTATTCTAAAACAGAGATAGAAACATTCTGGCAGCTATGGAAAAAGCTGTCTAGAAATCACCTCCCTGATAATCTCTAGTGAGCTTACACTGAACTATAGGCGGCCCCCTGCTCTTCCCCCACTACGAAATTACTCCCTTAAATATTGAAAACACACACAAGGTGTTAGACATATTTCAAGTTTTCTGAGATGCCACTGAAAACTATCAACAAGCACTGGCTTAGAATTTACCCCTGGGTCAGTCTGCATATTTTTTTTCCATGTGAAACCAAATTGAGGAAAAGTTTTTAAACAATCTGAACTTATATCCTGCTTTAAATTCATGTTGTGGGATTTAAACAAAACTGGATCCTTTACCCGCCCCTGAGCTGCAAAAATGCTATTTATTTTTCCTGCAAATGGACCATATATGAGGGTAAAACAAACATCTTTCTGTCTTGAGATATGTATATGTAACTTTTTTTTTTCTTAGCCAAACTCCCAAAAGCCAAACATGCAACAGAATGACTGATAATCACTCTGTCCTAAAAACAAAAGAAAAGAAAACTTTACCTCTTGTCCAGCAGAAATCAGGAGATCTGGATTCTAGACTCAGTTTGAACCATGACCTGGCTGTGGGACGTGGGGATTCTCTCCAACTCTCTGTTCTTGGTCCCTGTTCAATGAACTGAGGGTGGTGGCAGGGGCGGGGGGGGGGTGTGTGCGTGGGCTCAGGAATGGGAGAGGAGTCGGCCTGAAACCCCATTCGACTCTAGAATCGGATGACTTCAGATCAAAACACGGGTAAGCGATTGCAAGATCCTATTCTGAAAAGGATTTTCATATTGACTCAAAACACAGGTCCCAAGAAATCCTCTGTGATGCCCTCTTCAAAGGAAAGCCCCCAGTTTCTGATTCTGACCTGAGGGGTGTGGAAGTCATGTCCCTTATCAATCCCTTTATGTAGTAATATCCCCACCTGCTGGAACTTTAGGTTTTTGCTGCTAAAGGTGGGAGGTGTCTGGTAAAGGCTCCCCAAGGTGGGTTCCTGAAAGATGACCCTTGGCTTCCTCCTCAGAGCCTAGGTCCCGGGGATCCAGTGAATGCCTCTCAAACTGGAGCTTCTTAGAAACTGAACCTGGAGTCTGAACACAGCATGGGTTTGGTGTGGTCAGGGGCAGGCCAGGGGGTGAAGGCCGTGGGAAAGCAGCACCCCTCATAGGGTGAATTGCTTCAGTGGTTTCCTTAAATCCATACTCTAGGTGAGGGACTCACTAGGAGTTTTAAGGAGCCCAGGCTGATCCTTCAAGACGGGGGGCCTAAGATCTCATTCCAGAATTAGAGAAGCCAGAGGCCTGGCTGCTTCTACTCCTGCCCTTGGAGAGTCAGCCTCCCACTGAAATTCTTTGAATGCAGGAGATGAATGGACGGCCTGCCAGTTATGTCCTACAGTTCCTGTGAGTCTCCCATGTTCCTCTGCACACTGTACGGCCTCCCATCTGCGGAGCCGGCACTGCTGAGCCAGCTCACTTTCCACGTCCATCACTCATGAAGATATTTTTTTTGAGTCTTGTCAGGATACTGCAAGGAAAAGCTTAGAGCTTTGCATAAAGGCTACCATCTGAGCTCTGGGCTCCAGGGAGGGCGTAGCCTCTTCAGGGCAGGAAAGAACTCTGTCAGTCCCTGGAGAGAGGCTGTCCCCAGCTGACATCAGCCTCTTGTGGTGCAGTCCAGAGACTCCAGGGCCGAGTGCAGTCGATGCCCTTCCCCCATGCTCCTCACCCACACCACGGTGGCCCAGCTCCCCACATGGTGCCTTCAGCCTCACAGCCCAATCCCATTGCAGAGCCCAGCCAGCCTGGCCCACAGAAGCAATGTATACAGTAACAAAAGCGTCCTTTGTATTAATGGTGACTGGCAACCACCACCTCTTCCCAGGCTAGCAGAGACCTCCTCTCTCCTCTCAAGTTGGCCAAGGAATATTTGCCAAAGAGTTCCTGACAAGAACCCCCTAGTATGTGGGCAGCATTTCCGATCTCCCTCTGAAAGGTCATCTTTCCACAGCTCCTCCCTTCCTGCCATCCCATCAGGAATTTTTTATTTCACAGAGCTAAATGCCACAGTCCTTCTCAGCTACATTGGCAGCATTCCATCGGAAAGCAGTCAACGCACAGAGCCGAAGGCAGCACCCAGAAGATGAAGTATAGTGCCCAGTCCATTAGATAAGTGTGACTCAGATCTCTCACAGATGTCCTAGATCATGTCCAGACTCCCTTCTTTTTTCTTCAAAACTCTCCTTTTGGCTCCTAGCAAAGTCCACCAGGTCTCCTCATCTAGCCAGGACACTCCCAGTTAGACCCTTGGCAGCCTGAGAAAGGGACTATCAACAATGCTAGAAAGACTGAACCACATAAACTGTTTTGTGGATTATAGCATCTAAGGTAAGGTGGACGTAGTGAGGCCAGGGTAAGCATAGGCATAACCTGTCCTCGGATATGTCTATCACGTTAGAGTGACAAAGTGCTGTCATATACATTTTTCCTATATGATCCTTTTTTTTTTTTAAGATTTTGTTTATTTATTTGGGAGACAGAGAGAGAGTATGAGCCGAAGGGAGGTGCAGAGGGAGAGGGAGAAGCAGACTCCCCGCTGAGCAGGGAGCCCGATGCAGGGCTTCCATCTCAGATCATGACCTGAGTCGAAGGCAGACACTTAACTGATGGAGTCACCCTGTTTGATCTTGAATCACTGTCCTGGGAAAAAGAAATCCAGAGGGAGTAGGAGACAAGTTCAAGATTCAGAAGACCTTGGAAAAGAGCACTACTTAGGAGAGAGGTCTCCTTCTGGGTCCTGCATGATGGCGATGGAACTATCATTTTACTACTAGAACCAAAGATCAGCCTTAGGGAAGCCCTTGGTCCGGATCCAGTGTGTGAATCTGCAGTGGCATCTGTCCCTGTGTGTTAATGGCAGAACCTGGGCGCAGGTGCTCTTTCCCCAGGCCCAGTCTAGCTAGTGAGCCAGGACTGGAGCACAGATGCCTAGAAGGGGATAATCTGCTCATGGCTTCACATGGAATGGTGGCATTTCAAAGTCCAGGAGATATTACATGCTAGTATTTTGTTGAAACTTGGCTGGGAGACTCATTCTTCTCTGACAATCTCTTTAAGGTTCTACACGTAGCTCTTGGGGGGTAGGAGGAAGAAGCCCCAGAAAAGAGTATCATAAATAGACTGGCTTCCCTTGTTAACACTTTAGGGAGAAGCCTCATCAGAAAGATTGCCATTCCTAGACTTGGTGCTCTACCCAATAATGAGGTCTCTAGCATCACTGCTCAGCTCACGGCAAAAGAGGAAAACAAAAGGGATTCTGTTTTGCCCATGTAAGCACCAGGGAGGTCAGTAGGTCTGAACTAATGTAGCACACAGAGTAATAATATCCAACACTTACTGAGTCCTAACCAGGGTCAGGCACTGTAATAAGCACTTTATATGAATGAACTCATTTAATTCTCATAATGATCCTATGAGGTAAGGATTCTTCTTATCCTTATACCGTAGATGAGAAAACTGAGGCAGAGAGATTATCTAGCTAGCTAGTGAGGGAGCCCAGGCAGTCTGCCTCCAGATCATCCCCTACAACCACTGGGCTTATACCACGTCTGGAAGTGTGGATTGTGTCCTTGGATATAGCTGTCTTGGGCTGGACCAGCAGAGCCTTGAAACAGGGAGGGAGCTCCTCTGACACTGGAGCCCTGGCCCACAGCTCCAGCCTCCAGTCCCCCAAACGTGCTAGGAGGACTGCTGACACAGAATCCAGGGACCCCAGTAGAACGTCCTTACCCGCATCCCCTGCTCTGTCCCCTTTGTCTCCTTTCTCTCCTTTTGGGCCTCGGTCACCTGAAACAGAGGAGGAACACTGGCATTAGAAGTGGAAATAAATCCTGACTGTGAATAAAATATTATCTGCAGGAGCTGTATCAATCCGAGACCTAAGAAACTCTCAGCAGGAGCCCCCAGCACTGGAGGGCCTGGCAAAACAGGAAAATAAGAGCTTGAGTCAATGACACTGTGTGTTTTGCTCATCCCAGAAAGGAGGAGGGTGGGGAGGGTCCAGCTGAGAAATTTTGTTCCCTCTTAACTAAAGCATAGAAGGGCAGCATCTATCAGCACAGACTAGCATTAGGTGGCATTCAGCAGGAAGAAGACAGGGCAAAGATATGCCCATTACATAGTCAAGGTTTCCGAAGTGCACATCTGAGTTTGCTCTAATAAGCACAGGAGGAAAAGATGGGAGAGGGTCTTTAGTTACTTAGGGAGGACAGAGGTTATATGTCAGGCAGATTTACCGGGGGGGGGGGGGGGGGAGGGGGAGAGGCTACGTAACATGAGGGAGAGCTTCCAGGGAAATTATAGAAAGTTCTCAGGATATGGTTGAAAGAACAGGACCCTTTTTTCCAGCTAGCATCTCAGCCTACAAAGAAGTAGAAGGTCCTGACTCCACTTGAGGCAGCTCTAAAATGACCAGGGAATTCTATTCCAAGTGCCTTCAGAAAGATATCTGCAAGTCAAAGGCTTATGGCATACTGTCTGGTGCAAAACGCAAGCCAGCATGTTCCAGGGCAGGATGCCTAATGCGATCCAGGTTTTTTTAAAAAAAAAAAAAAAAAAAAACAACAAAAACCAAAAAACCCCAAGGTAACCATATATGTAAATATGAATACGCTTAGAAAAAGATCTGGCTGGATATGCCCCAAAGTGTTTATAGTAGTTACTCTAAAGAGTAATAGCTGAGGGGGAGGGGTCTCCCTTTCTAGTTTATACTTTATGTACTTCTGTATTCTCATCTTTTTTCAACAAGCATGTGCTGCTTTTGTAGTCTGTTTTAAAGTCATTTTTTAAAAAAAAAAATCGTAGGTCATAAAAGGAAGGAAAACCTCAGCCTGTTTAATCACTAGGAAGTAGCATAAAAGTTCCCAGTGATCCAAGACGCAGAGACCATCCGAGACATGGGGTGGGAATGATTAATGGCACTTTTTCCTCGTTTTCATTTTCACAAGTGAGGAGGTTTAACACAGCAGAACCAGCCCCAGATTTTCGCGTCTTGTGCTGCGGTTAGGGTAGAAGTCTGCACACTCTCAAAGGGAATGTGGAAAGCCAGGGCCTGACTAATAAAGTGAATGCCCCTAAAAATGAACAAGGTGGCTGTCATCAGGCAGAAAAACAATTCATTGCTACTGGCAATGGAAGTCTGAGAACTGAATGAAAATGTCACATATTGGGGGAATCATAAGTGTAGGACAGGCTGTTAGGAATCTGGCAGTCCAGGAAAGGAAGTGAGTGTCCTGGTTCTGCAGCAACCCCCCACCCCCTTTTCTCCCGAGAGCCTATTCTCCTGGTGTGGCTTCCTCTGGCTACATCACCGAGCCACAACCACTAGTGACACTCCCTTGCTCTTCTGCAGCACTGTGGAGTTTACAAAAAGTTTTCACGCATATATGACCCACTTAATTCTCACGACAGCCCTGCAAAGTCTGGTATCCTGAGGATTTCAGGGTTGGGGACCAAGAGACGAAGGTTTAACAAGACCAAGTGCCTTGCCCAAGGTCACTGAGCTAGCTGGTCAGTGGCAGAGCCAAAGGCCAAACCCAGTCCATTGGCTCCAGTGTCCATGCTGGTGCCTAGGGGCTGGCGCTAAGAGCAAGCCTACAATGGGGGCTCTGAGATTCATTCTTACCTTTGAACCCACGTATGCCCATTGGTCCTGTGGCTCCCATGTTCCCCTCATCGCCCTTGGGGCCTGGCAGTCCTGGGGTGCCTCTCTCCCCTGGCAGGCCTGGGAAGACATAGGGCAAGTTGTGGAGCGTCAGACTCAGAACTGGAAGGGCCTCTACGGGTCATCATCTGGCCCAGCAGTCAACCTCAACCATGTGTCCTCCTGCAGCTTTTCCTTCTTGATTCTTCTCAGTTAACCTAAAGAAAGTTCTTGACCTTCTCAGTTAACTGCTGCGAAAGCAGTGTCCGAAAGGTCAGCACAAAACTTCCCCACCGGTACCCTTTATCCAGTTAGGCTGGACCCCCTCCCCCCTCCCCCCCCAAAGGTCCAATTCTATTGTGAGTGATGGCAGTGGAACCCACTCCATTTGGGAGATGTCCCTTTACCTCTAGCTATGCTGGAGATTTAAATTCGGCGAACATTTGAAAAAAATTTTTTTGAGTCTTTTTTATGTGTCAGACACTGTTCTGGATTCTTCTCATAAAGGATCCCACTTTATCCTCACAATAAACTGAGGTATTATTTCACCTATGGTACACACGGGGAAACTGAGGCCCAGAGAGGTTAAGTAACCTGCCCACGGTCACGCAGCAGAGGGTGCTGCTGGGGGCAGGATCTGAGCCCTGGCCTTCCTGAACTGAAAGCCTGTGGTCTTCATCTCACGCTGGATGAAAAGCGCTTACTGGTATTTAGGGCAGAAGGAAGATGAGACTTCATCCTCTTTAAGGAAAAAACCCATGAAGATCCTTTCCCTGCTGTACATCCAGGGAGGTAGAGCAAAGGGGGTCATAGGCTGAGGAGGAGGGAGAAAGTCAGCAAGGCCAGTAAATGAGATGGGCGACTGCTGCCAGAACAGGCCCCAGGGCTTGTGGCCACGAGGCCCTGTGGCCATCGCCTGCATGTCACCACCGAGAGCCAGAATCAACAAATGCTTTCACCCAGTGAGAACCCTGCGCCCCCAGAGGCCTGACCTAAGCCCAGAGTTATCTCTGTAAAGCAGAGAACTCTTAATTAACTGATTACTTGTTCTTTCCTGCTTTGAATGTGAGTTGGCTTTCTCTGGTCTTTTTCCGTGACTTGGAAAAACCTGTCTTCCAGTAATTATTTCTCCAGAGCTAACATCAAATGTCTGGAAGAGGACGATGGGCCCCAGAGGATGGTGGGACCTCGGAGAAGGGAGGATTGGTTTCTTTTTTTCCTCCCTAATGCAGGGTACCTGTGTGGAGTCCAAGTGCCCCGTTGCCACAGAATTCTAAATCTGTATGAGATATGCCCAGAACTCCCCATCGTATAATTTAATAAGGCAGAAAAAGAGCTTTCACAGCCCTGCGAGTGTCTAGGCATCCTCAGTTCTGAATTTGGGGAGTTCCTGGGGTGGGGAGCCAAGGGGGGTGGCCAGGCCATGAGCTCTCCTCCTGCTAGCGTCTGTCCACTCTCCTGTTTGCAACCTTCTCGGGATTTAGGAAGGGGGTGGTTTAGAGATATAACTCCTGACATAAACAGACATCTCTCCCCAAATAAACTTCCCCTTTTCTTATATCATTTAGAAGGCTCTGCACTCTCCTAGAAAAATGCTGCTCACAGCAGAGGCTCAGAAGGGAACAGACTGGGATCAAAGTCTGATAAAGCAGCAAAAGAGGAACTTCCGAGACAGTGAATCTAAGAAGAACACACTCTTTCCAGAAGGCTGCAAGCTCCCCTGCCCACCAGCCACCAGATCTTCAGAGCTGTCTCTAGTGTGTTCACTGATCTGGGCAGAATCAGCAAGGAGGAGGGAGCATCAGGTGTCTGGTGACTCCGGAAACGCTGCAGAGGAGCGACCTACTTGCAGAACATGTTCCATTCCTTCTGATGGCTCTGGTCCTATGAACCCTGACCCCTGCGGTGGGAAGTAGGCCTCAGGGAGCAAGGAGCCCCTTGTGCATCCTCTTCCTTCTGATCCTGGTACTTTACAAGAAGAAGTATTTGCTCCATCCTTTTATTATACAAACAACTTGTCGGTCTCTTGACAGAACAGGGCATTTGAAGCTGGGAGGATTGGGCACCCTTCCAGGGAGAAAGTAGGGGGTCAGAGATGGATTGGGGGCACCCTCCCCTTCTTGGTATGTCCAGGTTCCTCCCGGGTCCTCCCAATTACCTCGAAGTCCAGGTAATCCAGGGATCCCAGGCTCGCCTTTCTTCCCTTCATCTCCTGGATCACCTTTGGGGCCCGGTGGTCCTGAAAGGGTTACAAATGGCACCAAGGTTAGAAGGTAGCTATCTGGAACGGGCTGCCTGTAGAGGAAACAAAAACTCCCTGTTAAAGACAGGAAGGGTCAGCATTGATGCTTAGGAAGCATGTAGGGCTCCACCTAGCCCAGCCTTGTATGTATGGGAGAATCAGGGAAAGCTTTCTGGAAGAAGTAATCTCCAAAGTGGAAGTCAAGGAAGAAGAGAAGGCAGCTAAGGCAAGGGAGGATGGAAGTGTGTTATGGACTGATTATCTCTGATTCTCCATCTCCCCCACCCCCCGCCAACAAATGCACGTGCTGAAGCCCTAATTCTCAGTGGGATGGTATTTGGAGGTGGTGCCTTTGGAAGTGAACAGGTTTAGATGAGCTCATGAGGATAGGGCTCCCGGTATGAGGCACCAGACAGTCCTCTTGCTCCCTCCCTCATCATGCTTGGGTGCTCTTTCTCCCTCTCCCTCTCCCTCTCCCTCTCCCTCTCCCTCTCCCTCTCGCTGTGCCATGTGAGGACACAGCAAGAAAGTGGCCATCTGCAAGCCAGGAAGAGAGCTCTCCTCAAAACCCAACCAGGCCGCACCCTGATCTCAGACTTCCAGCCTGAGGAACTGTGAGAAATAAATGCCTGCTGCGTAAGCTGCCCAGTCCGTGGGCATTTTATTACAGTGGCCTGGACTGAGACAGAACGAAAAGCAGAGCTCCAGGCAGAGGGAACAATCCCTACAAGAGCTTAAAGAAAGAGGTATGGGAGCCATAGTAGGATTAGAACCGGGGGGCACATGATAGGATGAGAAGGGTGAGGAAGCGGGGGTCTTAGAGGCCCGCCTAACTGCTGTACTTGATCCTGAGGGCACCTGAAGCCACAGCAGGCCTAAAGAAAACATGAGTGTGATCAGAGCAGCACACGAGGAAGAGGGCTCAGGCTGCCATATTGGAAAATGGCTCAGGATGGGAGGGAAAGCAAAGGCAGGGAGGCCATGTGGAGGCTGCACTCCAGATGGGAGCCCTGAATTAGGGCAGTGGTCATCTGGAGGGATGTGAACAGCTGTTTGGAGGTAGGACAGACAGACCTTGGCTGAACAGAGGTGAAGGTAGGGGAGAAGACCAGGATCAGGTTCAGATTTTGGGCTTGAGCACCTGAGGGGAAGAGGGGCGTCTAATTGCTCCCAAACTGGGCTTTCTTCCAGAGCCAGGCTCCACCATGGGATTCCAGCATATGTGACTGGATTAAGTCCCCACAAGGCTGGGTGTTGAAGTTACTTGTCTGAGGCCACACAGTCAGGCAGTGAGAAAAGGAGCCCAGGTTCCGACTCTGGTCTGTCTGGCCCATCCCCTCTGCCTCACTTGTCACACTAGATGGCTCACCGTTCCCAGAATACAGTTAGACCTTCCTGCCCCCCAGTCAATCTCCCATGTTGTCCTGTCCCCACCTCCACCCCAAGTGGCTCATGGCTGCCCTCCTGGCCAGAGCTTCTCTGGACCAGCACTCCTGCCAAGGGTGGACACAGCCCATCTGAACAGATATACGTGGTGCCCTTTGACATTTATCTGGCACCGCCTGGTCCTGGACTCCTAGGTGTATGTGTTCTCTCTTCCCTAACAAAATTGCTGTCCCAGCTGTGAAGATCCAGACTCCAAGCTCCCCACTCCTGCTGCCTTGCGACAGAAAAAGAAGACCAAGGAAAAATACCAAAACCATATTGTAGTGAATTAAAAGAGTGTCCTTTCAAAATTCATGTCCACTTGGATCCTCACAATGTGACCTTATTTGGAAATACGGTCATTTGCAGATGGAATTAGTTAAGAGGGGGTGATCCTAGAGCGGGGTGGCCGGTGTTCTTATAAGACGATAAAGCACAGACAGACACACAGGGAAAATGCTATGTGACAAGCGAGGCAGAGTGTCTACAAGCCACGGTATGCCAAGGATTGTCAGCAACCATCAGAAGTTAGGACGAGGCCAAGAAGGATTGTCTCCTAGAGCTTACAGAGGGAACATGACCCCGTGGACACCTTGACTTCAGACTTCCAGCCTCCAGAACTGTGAGAGAATCAATTTCTGTTGTTTTAAGCCAATCAGTTTGTGGTCCTTTGTTATGGCAGCCCTAGGAAACCAAAACATGTACACTCACAGCATAGCAGCGATGGATTGCACAATAAATATTTGATGAATGAATGAGATCAGAGGGTGTTAATACATACAAAACAACCGGGCAGCCAAGACCGAGATGTACTGATACATTCCAAAAGTTGGCACCATCCTCAGACCCTAACCCAAGTTGACAGCTGAGTAATGATTCAGTGGCACATACACAGGGAAAAATCAGTCAACAATTTAAAAATGCATGCGTTACGCACAATCATTTAAAGGGGACCGGGTTCTGTGGCCATGTTCCTCTCTTCTATGAAGAAAAGCAAAGTGAGACTGATCATGTTGAGCCCAGTTTTCAGACGACTGCATTGAGAGCCAGAAACTGCTTAGAACACAGCTCAGATTCCACGGCAAAGGAAAGGCTTGGTGGAAGGAGCCGGGGAGCTTTCCACTCCCTTTCCAGCCATCTCGGCAGCACGGCAAACAGGGCTGCCTGGATGTCTGCACTCCACGAGCTGTCCCTGGGAAGGGCCTCCTTCTCCCTGTGCCCAGTACACTCCCTTCCTTGTCCCTCTTCACTGTCCCATCCTCCCCACGTGGAACTCAGTGCTTCCAGACTGGAGGGAGTCAAGGAGGCAATGAACTGAACACTCCAATGATTTGTTCTATTTGCTCTCCTATGACTCAATGTATGGATCTTCCCAAGAGTAATTCTCACAAAGGGAGGATGTTGCCCAGGGAATGACCCTGGTGGTGGTGCCTCAGGGTGGCGGAGATCATTTGGAAGGTAGGGGTTGAGTATGGCTATGGAGTGTCTTGGGTTCAGGTCCTGGTTCTAGAAATTCTAAGTTAAAGTTCCTTCCCCAGACATTTGAGGAGTAAGTGATTACATGGCATGCTGGATATAAAGGGGCTGGGTAACTTTTGAGTGGGCAAAGCCATCCTGACCATCTATCCCCCCACTTTCATAATGCTTCATCAGAACTATTCCAAGATCACCACGCACAGCCATGCTGAGCTGCCTGTGGAATCACCTTGCCAAGCTTGGCTGGCTCATTCAGGGAGAGGCAGGTCTGAAGACATCCTATACGTGGGTATAGGATGTTTTTAAGACACAGATAAGTGGTTATTGGGGGCTTTACTGGAGATGAACTGGGAGGATGTTGGGGTAGACAACGTGGTAGAGGTGGGTGCTGATTTCCAAGCCTTAGTCATGCCCTTAGATGGAACTGGCCCTGCAGACTTAGGAGGACCTAAAACGTGGCCAGTGTGAGTCTCACGGGGCCAGGCTTCACCTTAGGAGCTCCAGCTACTGAGTGCTTCTTCAAATCACTGCTGCCTGTGGGTCATGTGCCCTTGAGGGTCTGACTTTTTATCATTTCCCCTGGAATCTGGGCCAAAACTCTTGAGCTTGCATTAACTCCTCCTTTTTCTCTGTCCCCCATGCCCCCTTACTCACCAAAGCTCATCATCGAGGTGATTCTTTCTCCTGTCATGTCTCTGCCTCGTTCCTCACGGCTCCCATGCTCATTGAGGTCTTGCTCCCAGTCTCTTTAAAGATCTCCTTGTCTGCGGTCTCTCTAAAACCCATTGTGCACATGGCTGTCCCATTAATCTTGTCAGAATCTAGTGACCTCACAGCCTCTGAGATCCTTCATAGCACAATGGGCCAACACTCCTCTATCGGAGACCCCTGCAGATCATCCCCCATCTGACCCCTTCTGCAAACTCACAGTCGGATACTTCTGGAAATAAGCCCTCCTTTACCTCAACAAAAACATTATCCTGTATTCCCAAACATCCGCCAAATCTCTTCCTTTCCAAGAGCCCTGTCCCCTACAGGCCTGACGCTCACCTCCACACACACCGTTCTGACCTCTCAGGGTATCTGAGCAGAGTGCTCCCCAAATCTCAGAGCTGGAAGGCCCCTCAGACATAACCATGCACCAAGTCCTCATGGAAGCACCCCTGAACCCGGGCAGGCCACCTTGTGAGCTATTCATGGGGCCTTGTCATTCATCTTGTGTTGCAGCAGTCCCCAAAGAGGACAGGCCTGTCTGTAGGGCCGGAACCCCACCTTCTGTGGCCCTGTGCTTCACACGGCACCTGGCACATCGTAGAGATTCTACGAATGACTTGTGGGCACTTGTAGAAGCCGTTATGGTACCAGCAGTCCTAATGGGACCCAGTGAGCTTTTTAAGATCTTGACTCTTTATATTGTGACTTGTGACTCGCTCATCTTTTCTGTCACTAGAGCAGGCCAGAGCATGGAGGCGGTCTGGGACAAGGAGAAGCAGGGTCTTTTCTCCTCAACTGTGAAAACAGGTCCAGAGCCCTCATCTACTCCGCTTCTAGTCTGGGGTGCCAGCTTCTCTTTCATCCCATGTTCTACATGGAAGATAGGGAGAAGGAAGAGGAGGATGGAGAGAACCCTGCACCCTGTGCCCAGCCTCCCTCCACACTGTCCCCAGTGCGGCTCTGCCCCCAAGGGGCTGCCCATGAACTGTGCCAGCTGGAAACATTTCCTGAACAGGATGAAGGATATATGACTGAACATTTGGGAGAAATACCAGGGTTCTTCTGGGGACCAGCCAACAGGGAGGGAGAAGCAATCCGTTCTCTCTTCCTGGATCCTGGAATGAGTGATGGGGTGGAGGACCTGCCTGTGCTGGAATCAGGACAGGGACAGCTGATGAACTGGGCCTGAAGCCAGCAGAACAGCAACCAAAATCGTAATATAAATACCACCTCCTGCACCACGCTAATCCAAGGGCGGCTGACCAAGGTGGAGTCCCTCAATTAACTACCCTACTTCCACCCTCGACGTCACTGGGGCACTGGGCTGCCAGTTTTACCTCTACAGTTTTGCACGCTCTCCAATGTCCTTTGCTACGTGTGTGGGGCAGGGACTGTCAGCTGTGTTTCCCAGCCCTGGGGACACTTGATCCAGAGGCATAAGGGGCTGTCTCTGGCTCCCGCCCAACCTGCCGGGGTGGCTTTCCTCTGGGCCTCCTGGGCTAAGGGGTGGTGGGCCAGGCTGGGTGGCACTGCTAGTGCTCAGGGCCTTTTGAGCAGGGAGGCCGATGCAGAAGGCCACCAGACAGACTGCCGTCCAGCCCACCTAGGGAGCAGCCACCCGGGCTGTGCTTCCTAGTCCTCAGTGAGGTACAAACACTAGTTACATATGGCCCAGTTCACAGAGACACTTGACACTTCCAACATGTCCCTGTGCACTAGAGGCCGGAGTTGGAGCCCAGGACCCAAGGCGTCGCTCCATCATGTCATCCCTCTGTAAACACGGCTGGGCTCTCTACTACATGGTGTGTTTTCTTGAAAAAGCAGCTCACAGGTAAGTCTGCTCTGCCAACTTGTTCTCATGACTTGAGAGATGTATTTTTGAGACCCAGCTGGGTCTCTGGCTTGGGATTTGAGTCACCTCCCTCTCTGGGCCTCACATCCTCAACTGTAAGGCAAGAGGAGAGGACTAGCTGATTGCAGAGCCTATTACTACTGTGATTCTATAACCATCCATCTAGCAAACAGGCCATCTGAATATGGCAGAGAGTCCTGCCTTCCTGCCTGGTTCACTCCTTCCCCCTCCTGTAGGCCTCCCCTTTCTGGTTATTTCCCTCCTCTTGGTATGCCCTCCTTCATCTGGTTATCTCTCCCTTCCTGATATGCCTCCTTTCTCTGGTTATCTTTCTCCCTCCTGGATGCCTTCTCTCTCTGATCATCTAAGTTCTCTGCTTCTTTCAAACCACAGACAGATTTCAACGGATGTGATTAATACTGAAAATCCAAAGCGGAAAATAGAAAGTACTGCTGGGGGTGTATATAAAAGACAAACCAGAGACAAAATTCATAGAAAACTGTATAATGAAGTGAGAGAATGAAAACCATTTGGGGTCAAGCCCAAGAATAACATAAATAAGGTCATGTTTGAAAAATACACATAGTTGAGTATTTTTGGATTCTGCACCAGCCAAGGGCAAAGAGTGGAAGAGTGTGAGTGTATGTGTGAGCGTGAATGTGGGTGCATGTGTGTGTTTAAAGGCTAAGAGAGGAACTGGACAAAGTTAGGGCAGAAAGGCCATTCCAGAGAGCAGTACGGAAATGCACAGAAGCTTAGCTGGTAAACCATCCCTTATCCAAAAGCCAGGGTAGAGTTTTGTCTCATTAGAGTTGAATGGTAATTACATCAGATATGTCCAACAGAATCCTCGGGAGTCATCCCAGTTGGGTCCCTGGCAACCATGAGAGAAGGAGATGGGGAAGGGAAGTACCCAGTGCGGTGGTGATTCTGGGAGCCAGAGGGACTGAGGGGCGTTCATATCCAAAGTACAGTGGCCCATCATGAACCCGAAGCTTGAGGACTGGAAGGCAGGCCTGGGCAGCATTGACACGAAACTTCCAGTTCCAGGGAACAGAGTGTGAATCTTTTGGCAAGATTCTTTGGTAAGAACCTTTTGGTAATGTTTAGTAATGACCAAAGAAAGACTACTTAGAGAATCCCACTGGAAGAAACTTCACAAATGAATGCCCAGAGCAGCTTCAGTTCAAGCCAAGGAGAGCGCGCTTGCAAGTTATAGAAGCAAGGCAGGATGTGAAATCTCAGAGAGGCCCAGGAGGAGGCACCAGCCGGAGGCCTGGTGACCTCTGCTGACTGCAAGAGGAAGGAAGCGGGAAGGGGCTACCCCCAAGGACCCTCCAAATGGAGTCCAAGGGACCACCCCCTCTTCTCCCTTCATTGCTCAGAGCTGGCAACTTTCCACCCTAGAAATCAGGATGGTCAGGTGACAAGAACATGGTTTCTGAACCAGGAAGACCTATATTCACACCTTGACTTGGCTACTTGCCAATTGTGTAAGAAAGAGTGGGAAAGTTATTCAAGTTTCTCATCTATAAAATAGGGACAATCATACTGTTTGGCAGGATGTGAGGAGTAGTAGTCTTTGATGTCTATTGGGAGAATTAATGTCAGCACAGCGTCTGGCTCAGAGTGGGTCGTAATTCGGTAGAGTTGCTATTATCAGTAACTACCTGACCGACTGCTATGGGCAGAGGAGACCAAAGGAAAGAGAAGATGGGAAAACGTAAAATCCCAGGGGTGTGGATCTAGAAGAATGAATTCTACCTCCTGTCTCCCTTTGATTTCTGCGAAGTGAAAGCCCGAGTGACCCAGGAGAAGAAAACCAATATTCTGACTGCTTAGGTTGAAGATCTAACATTGCTTCACAAACATTTATGGGATCCCAGTTATGTGCACTGGACTGTCAGGTGTTGGGGGGAGCAGGGTGGGACACAGGAGGGCGGTCTGGGGTGTAGTGCACCGGGCAGTGGGTTCAGTATCCTGGCCTGATCGTTGAATTATACACTTCAATGGGTGAGCGCCGCGGCATGTAAATTAAACCTTATTAAAACTGTTTGAAAACAGAAAATCCTGGGTCAGATCATTACCAGCTGCGTGGCCTTGTGTAAATCAGGCACTTCCTCTGGGAGCCTCACTTGTTTTTCTGCAGGAGTCCTACCCTGCCCCCAATAACAAAGTCTGCCTTCAACCAACCTCACAGTCAGTCATAGGGACCCACTCTAAAATGAAATGATGTACCCCAAAGCAGTCTGTGGACTGGAAAGTACTATGCAAATGGAAGGCTCCATCATTACTCTTTTCTGCCCTGAAAAGAATGGAGAAGCTCAGAGGAGGGAGACTTCAGTGAGCTAGAGGGTCCAGTGCGGTTCTTGCAGGAGGTTGGTTTGAGTGAGATCTGAAGGATCCGGGGATCTGGATGATAATGAGGAAAAGGAAGGAGGAGCCACCAGTAGGAGCAATAGCTAGAGTAAAGGATGGCAGTGGGAAGGGCGGGCTATGTCTCTGGGGCAGTGACGAGACGTGTCCCACTGGACCGGATGCTTCTCACAGGGCAGGGGGATGGAAACTGGCTGTTTATGGACAATACACCACCTACAGAATTAGACAAATAAAAGTTACTAGAACATTCCATGTTTCTGGTTTCTTGTGAGAAATGGGAGACTTTGTGCATGTCAGGTCCATATTTCAGCCTGGCCAAAATCGAGTGGACCTGCCATAAGCCGCTACTACTCCTCTGACACCAAGATCACTTTACTCAATGACATTGCTCGACTTGCTCCTACAGACTGTTCCATTTGTAACCTCGGGGAGCAGGGAACAGTCAGAGAAAAAGTCAGGGAAGACAGGTGGGGGTCGGGTGTGCAATAGACAGCACATCAGCTCTGGGATCAGAGCAGCTTGGGTCCAAATCCTGGCCCCATCACCTCCTAGTGGGAGGCTGTGAGCAGCTTCCTGAATCAGTGCTCCCACTGTTATTTTTAAAAGATATTATCTGGCCATAGCTACATTTGCAGTGAACAAGCATTAGGTATAGAATTTTCTAATCACTATGCTGTACACCTGAAGCTAATGTGACATTGTGTGTCGACTATATGTCATTAAAAAATTTAAAATAAAAGACATCACACGAGGCATGCTTCTTAAGAGGCACAGTACCTGGCAGGCGAAGTCCACCGTGGTATTTATTATTATTATTATTATTATTATTATTATTATTGCCTACTGCCTAAGGAGTATTTATTGAATCTGGCAGAAACTGGCAAGCCATGGTGGGGTGCTGAGCAGGAGGGTGATGTGGGAAATGTGCATTTCACGATAGGTGCCCCTGACAGTGATGTGCAGGGCAGACGGTAGGTAGTAGGAAGGGGTGGGGGAGAAGGGAGGGGGGGACCAGTTAGGTGTGGAAAAGAGAGAAGCTGGCTCTAAAGGCTCTAGAGTTCATAGGCCTGGGGCAAGAGTACCAATGGAGGCTTACACATTTTTGCCATTATTTTTAAGAGTTAGTTATATATGCAGCTAAGAAACTGTTAAATAAAATATGTTCTTGGGTGGCCCAGGTGGCTCAGCGGTTTAGCGCTGCCTTCAGCCCAGGGCATGATCCTGGAGACCCGGGATCGAGTCCCACGTCAGGCTCCCTGCGTGGAGCCTGCTTCTCCCTCTGCCTGTGTCTCTGCCTCTCTCTCTCTCTCTCTGTGTGTGTGTGTGTGTGTGTGTGTGTGTGTATTCTCATGAATAAATAAATAAAATCTAAAAAAAAAAAGAAAGAAAATATGTTCTTCTGTCTGGATGCGTATAGTTCACAACAGCCGGGAAGGTCAAGTTCAAATTTGGGATTCTCCAATTCATTGTAGCTCTAGCATTGGAGGAGTGCCTCTCCTTCCCGGCCTGAGCCTGTGGCCGGACCCCTCTGCTTTTTCCACAGCCAGAAATGCTGGGAGGCTCCCGCTGGTACACCCAAGCTCTGACTACCCGGCCCCCCATTAGCCACCCTTGGCCATTCTTATGTCTGGGGGGTGTGGACCCCGAGTGTCCTCTCTGGGAGGTAGAAGGGAGGTTAGGTCCTCCAGGGGAGAGACCTACACAGGCTGGGGAATGGGCACAGGCCATTTGGGCAGAAACTTCCAGGGTCCCCTAGGTCACGATTTAGCAGAGGCATTGGAGTCTTCCCAATGGCAGGTGGATTGAGGGAGCAGCAGGGGGCTCCTGAGCCCTTGGGGGAGAGGGAGGGGTCCCCAGGAAGAGGGGCCTAACAGGTGGGGCGGGGGCAGGCGGCTACCTTTGGCGAGGGAGATGTTCCTCAGCGCGATGGAATGCTCCCAGTCCTTGAGGCGCAGGTCCTCGGTGACCGTGTTGAGCACGGCCAGCTCCTGCTTGAGCTGCAGCTCCATGCCCATGTGCACCAGCCGCATGCGGCGCGCGTCCTCGCTGGCGTTGCTCACCAGCACCTGCAGGTCCTGCAGCCGCGTGCTGTGCAGGGCCACGTCGTAGGACAGGCTGTGGTTGAGGCCGCGCAGCGCGCCGCCCACGTCGGCCAGCTCCTCGCCCAGGACGCCCACCCTGCGCGCCAGCCCGTCGAGCAGGCCGGCGTGGCGCCGCAGCAGCAGCTGGGTGCGGTTGCTCTCTACCTGCAGCTGGTAGAGCTCCAGCTGCGCCGCGTCGCTCTGCTGGCCCGTGCGGTCGCGCAGCAGGGCCACCGCCTGCTCGGCCTGCGCCGCCTGCGCCTGCAGCCCCCAGAGCGCGCCCTCCAGCCGCTGCACCGCCCCCGCCAGCGCCAGCAGCGAGTCCGACTGGTTCTGCAGCGCATCCTGCACCTTCCACACCTGCTCCGTCAGGTCCGCCTGCAGCGGAGCCTGCAGCAGCCGCAGCTGCAAGTCCCGGAAGCTCTCGTTCAGCCGATTCACGTTCCGAGTCAGCGCCTTCAGGTCGTCGGGGGAGCTCCGGGGCCTGGACACTGCGGAGGGGGGAGGGGGAGAGATGAGCTCCGCGGGGGAGGTGCCCCGGGCCCAAGAGGCAGGCCCCGCCACAGCCTGGCGTGCAGTAGGTGCTCAATAAACGACAGATGAAGGGAAATTAGAGGGTGACTTTGTTTGAGTGCCTTGGTAGATCCCGGGCACTGCGCTAAGTCGGTGGTCCCCAAACTGGGCTGCCCATTAGACTCACCTGCTCACGTGTCCCGCCCACAAAATTTCTGATTTTTTTTCCTTTTTTTTAAAAAAAATAAATTTATTTTTTATTGGTGTTCGATTTGTCAACATACAGAATAACACCCAATGCTCATCCTGTCAAGTGCCCACCTCGGTGCCCGCCACCCAGTCACCCCCACCCCCACCCCCCAACCTCCCCTTCCACCACCCCTAGTTCGTTTCCCAGAGTTAGGAGTCTTTCATGTTCTGTCTCCCTCTGATTGAACTGGTTTGGGGTGTGGCGTTCTTAAAAGAGCCCAAGATAATTCTAAGGGGCAGGCTAATTGTACTCATCTAACCATTATGCATGAGGTCTATCCATATGGCATTGTCATTTCTGTATGTTGAAAATGACTGGCTATCAGCAGTTGCACCTGGTAGCCCCTAAGATATTGAGGGCTAGCCTCTCAAGGCTGGGAGGCAGGCACCATCATTAACCCCCCTTTAGGGTGAGAGCTGTTGAAGTCACCCAAGGTAGAACAGCAAGGAAGCTCAGAAGCCAGGATTCCAACACACATCCAGAAGTGGGGTGCTTCCCTATAAGGCTGCTCCAGAATTGTTTGAAGAAACCATGCCAGCAGCAGAGTCAGCCAGGATCTAGGTAACACTCCCAGCTTCCTGATGCCAGGGTCCCACCCCACCCCCCACAACCCCCTTATTGGGGAGAGAGTCCCTCTGGGCAGGTACAGATGCTTTTATATACTCCCTACTGGGCCCCCTCCAATCCTTTTTCTAAATCCTCTAATTCCTTCCTCAAGCAAACAACCCATCTCAGTGACTTCACCCTTTCTCCTTAGAGAAGTTTCCTTTTCTTGGTGATAAGCAGCTATTTTACAATACTAAGGGGAGGGATGTGCATCTTAATTCCAATCCAGTAGAATTCCTCCTGGAAGCTTGTGGGCTGCACTGACTCAAGTACACCACAAACCCTGGTGCTGGGAGTCTTGGGTGCTTGTGATCAGTTTGTTGTGCATTGTCCAGGGCTGTACCCACCTCTGGTCTACATGAGAGAAATGGAAACAAACTAGTAGTAGAAGTGGGGGGACAGAGTCAGAGGTGGAGGTAGATGAGGCACAGGAGGAGCTCTGCCTCGGAAGTCTTGAAATGGGGAGAGCAGGGGCCTTCATCCACAGCCTGTTCGAACAATGAGAAATTGGGATAGGATAACTCTTCCAGAACCTCAGGTTTGGAAGGGGGCAGATAGCCGTGTGGGTGCTTGAGCCACTGGAAGACCAGCTGCTGCCGTACTTTGTGATGCTTCTGGAGGAACCAAGTCATTTCAAATTAGATTCAGAGACTCATAGCGCTAGGTGGAGCCTTGAAATCCCCATCTCAGCTTCCTGCTCCCCCAGAACTTTAATCTCCAAGAAAATCACATGCCAAGTGGTTACCCAGCCTCTGCTGATACCTGCCTCTCCGCCTTCAATTACTTCTAACTGTTGGAATGTTTTGCATTCTGTTCAGACTGGAGATTTGCCTTCCTGTAGTTTCTATCCACTAAGCCTGCCCTTTGGGAGTCATATAGAGCTCGTGAAATATTTTTTCCACAAGACAGCTCTTCACAATTTCAAAATTTCTGGTTGAAAATCTGCATTTCCTGCATCTGTTCTCTCCCGACTAGGTTTTAAACCTCCATACATCCTGGCCACCCTTCCCTGCACATTCTTGAGTGTGTCAACATCCCCCTAGAGGTGGTGTGTGATCCAAGTGTGGTTTTCCAAGATGTGGACAGACTGGGCAGATCATGGTAGCAGGATCATCTCCTTCACTCTGGACATGAGACGTCTCATGTGGCCCAAACTGCACTCTGTTTAGCTTCAGCTGGGCTTTTCAGACTTTGGCCATTGGATTTGGGTCTATGCAGTCCTTGGTGAAAATTTCCCACAGCTTCCAGACAAAAACACTGAGGCCAGGAAGAGTATAAGCGAACTGCCTAATGGCGTGCTTTCGGCCTCCTGGTCTAGTGCATTGCTCTGGGAGCTTAGCTGAAGAGTTGTCAATAGAAGTAGAGGTTCTGGGGGAATGAATCTGTGACCCAGTCACCACCTAAGTAACCACAGGAACTGTCTGCTGAAGAAATCACCATAGGCCGGGACTCAATTTTAAAACCAGCATGTTTGTCCAATATTCAACCCAGATTGGATGGCAAGTATTAGAGACGGAGCAGTTGGAACACAGCCCGATAATTTAGTGCCAATCCCTGCCCACAATGCCCCTGGAGTTCAAAGAGACACCGCAGCTTATCAGATGCAATAAAGAATGCTCAGAGCTTTGCAAGTTCTGCTTTGAAAACTGGGATTTGTGAGTGACTCAAAGGAACAGGGCAACCTCCTTGCTTTCACCTCCAGGCCTGCCAGTGGCAACATCATGAGGTAGGCAAGCTCCCTTACTCCCGCTCTCTGCAGGCTCCCCACCCCCTGCCCTCCACAGGCGGTACCCATGCCTAACTGGTGTCCTGTGCCCTTGGGGAGCCCTGGCCTTGCCCATCAGCTCCCCTCTTAGAATCTGGCAGTTCTTGGGTCCCCTCTCTCAGTCCAGGCAACTGAGCTGACACTAGCTCACACGAAAACGATGGACAGTCGGCTACTCCTTCCCTGAGAGTTCATTTGGGTCTTTTATTATTGTTCATGGCACAACCAGTATTAACATACACCCAAATGAAAGAAAGAAAGAAAAGTCTTCCACAAAGCACACTGGCTTTCTTTCTCTTGCTCCATCCATACACATCCCCAATCTTTACAGTTTGATTTCTGAGTTGCTTGTTTTTTCCCCCCTAATATGACTATTTCATAAGCATGTTCTAATCCTTCTCTCTGTCTTTTACAATTAAAACTTGGGTGGCCCCGTAGCACCCATCAAAGGAATGTGTTGTAATTTACCCATTCTCTTACTGTTGAATTTTTTTTTTCTATCATAGACAATAAAAGCAGAAAGGTCTCTCCTTGTTTTGAAAATATTCCTAACAATAAATTCCCAGAAGTTGGATTAGGGAATCAAAGGGTATAAACATTTTTGTGATTCTAAAAAACTCCAGCCAAATAACTTCCCCCAAAGTGATGCCTATTTATATGCACACTTATAGATGTTCTAGTGTGCCAGGTTAAACAGACCAGATAGTGCAACAAGTGCCACAGTCCTCATATTGTTAATGTTGCAGATATAAGACGGTACCTTGTCATTTTTTGTTATGTTAATATATGTGCATTTTAGAAGTGGCCTTTTCAAGGTAATGCATTAGCTTGAAGGAATGGTTTTGGCATATTAGGTACCCAGGCTAATCAGAACAGAAATTATTTGGAGGAGTAAAGAGTATCTGGGCATCAAATCATGCTGTATAAGCCCAGAGCAACCTCCCTTTCTTCGGGAATCACCCACCCCAAAAATGAATTATCTCTTTCCAACAGTCACAGTATGTTCTCAGCCCACACCACCACCACCACCCACCCTCTTCCCCCATTTAATTCCTTCCAGATGTTTGTTGTCCTCAACAGGGAACAATTCTTCCTTGAGTGTGACTCTCCTAATTCATGTTTATGCAAACAGTTCATTTATCTCTCTGCGTGGCATATTTTCTTTTAATGTGCTTTCATTATTCTTCAACTTTTATACTTCCCCAAAGGGGATGAGAAATCAGAGAGTAACAATAATCACTGGCATTTCCCGAGGACTTGCTATGTGCTTGCAATATTCTAAGGGCTTTTCACATGAACACAATCACTTACCGGCCCTATGAGATAAGTACTACTATGACCCCATATTCTGAACGAGGAACCCGAGGCACAAGAGATTAAGTAATTCATGGGGTCACACAGCCAGTAAAGGGAGGAGACTGACTTTGAGCCCTCGGAGTGTGGTTCTAGGGCTCCTGGCTCTTGGCCACTCTGCAATACCGCTAAAGGATAGAAGGCACAGAACAAATTTTTTTTTTTTTTTTTAACAGAGACATGCAGATATGGAATAAACTCTGAAGGTGGTGAGCTCCCCATCCCATCATAAACCCAGGCCGGAGTCAGGCTGCTCAGCAGTAATCATGTAGGCATTCAAATTTGGATTCTGATTCAGTATTGAGTGCTGAGTCCTAATTACGTGTAACTGCATGTGATTCTGTAATAATATATGATGAATGCATTAGGGTCTGCCTCAGGCTGTGCCCGGGGCTGGGAGGCTTGCTCACACACCTCTCCTGCAGCCCTCTTACCTGAGCAGCAATTGAACCTTGCGTTCCCACCCATACCTGGGCCTCGAGTTAGCCCTCTGATCCATAGTCATCCTTTATATTCATGAAAACAAAAATCACGTGCTGGTTAAGTGAAGATGCTCTGGATGTGACTGACCACGGGGGCTGCCTTCCCCAAATGCATCTGGCACACCTGTAAGGCCAGCAGGGCAGAGGATCCGTGTGTCGGTGGGGAGGAAGAAAGCTAAGCATTCTGTTTGATGTTTCGTGGCCTAAACCTTGGGCAGTGGTGTTCATAACCCTTTATCCTTGTATAAAAGTTCACATCCAGCACCTCACTTAATTTCCAACATAATTCACCTTGGGAGGTAGGCAGGGCAAGTATTCATAATTTCACGTAAGGAGGGGAGAAAAAGAGTCTCAGAGAAGTCAAAAGATTGCCAGAAGTATAAAATACAGATGAATCGGGGTCCTGTGTCCCTTAGTCTAGTATATCATCCTCTAACACCTTCTGCTGGGATTGTCAGCCACATGTGGAACTACCAAATAAGGGGAAGCAGGGCAGGAGATGACATTTATTAAGCACCTGCT